CTCCAGCCCGGCTCCAGCCCGGCTCCAGCCCAGCTACCATCCCCCACTAACCCTCGGCGCCCCACTGCGCTTCCGCTGCCCGTTGGCTGCTCCGCCGACAAACAACTCGGATCGAAGTAGAAAAGAGTGGGGAAGAGGGAGGCGGAATTTGCCATCGTCTAGTCGACATTTCCTAGACCCCCGTTTTGTTTGTAGTCTCACAGTTCCTGGGTACTGGATCTGGAATGGCACTGTCGCAATATGTGGCTAACAGTAGCAAATATACCTTCTCCGACTCTTTACACACACAATCGAGCAACGACACCAATTGCTTCCGTTACTCATCGCAGCGGATATTGAGTCTACATCCACCCCTTCCCTTCTTTAATCAGGCCCTTCCGCTTGGTGTTAGCTGTTCTCCGGCGGCTGTGCTGGACCGTGGCGGGCTGCGGTTGGTGGCCCTGGCCAACGCCAGCACCGCAGGACACCGCAGGGCACCGCAGAGCACCGCAGAGCTGCCTGTGTTTCACGCTCGGCTCGATTCAATTTCACAGCTGGGCTGTGGTGCAGGCGCGGGGAGTGGCGGGGCGTGGCGGTAGAGGCGCCTGCTCCGCTCCGCTCCGCGGTGGCCGCCTGCATGTCACCGATAGCGCGGCCCACAAGCACTGTGCGGCGTCGCCTTCGCCGCCCCACCCGACACTGTCGTGGTGGCGTACCAATGACTGAGTGTCACCCTTCCAAAAGAGACGGTAGACCGCGGTAGACGCTCAGTGGGGCCCGCACTAGAAAACATTTTTTTTTGTCCTGAGCACTAAACATTTTGTCCCGAGACTGAAAGTTTGGACGCTCGAAACAGTTTTGTCCTGGGCACAAAAGTTTTGTTGCCAGAACAATAGTTTAAGCGGTGGGAACCAACTTTTTTGTGCCAGGGACAAAGTAGGACGTATTCAACAATCGTCTAGTGCCCGGCAGGAAAACTTTTTTTCAGTGCGCTGTTGTGGTTTACTGGGTACTACCCGTTGACGCATCGTGCAGAGCGCACACGCCGCAAGCAGCCATGACTCTAAGAGCGGCGGGGGCGCGGCGGGGCGCGGCGGCGCGAGGCGCCTATTCGACGAGGTGCTACAGCGCGCTGGTCCGCCTCGGCGACGCGACGGCCCTGATGCGTTCCGTTCTCGAGACGCGTCTTTTACGATCCGCGACGGGGTAAGAGGAGCGTTGCGCGGCGCGACCTGTCTTGTGTGTGGCTCGGCGGTACAGTCCGCACGCAAGCAAGCCCGCTGTGCCCACCGCGATCACCACGCTGGGCATCAGCTAGGCAGGCCTGACCGCCAGCCGCATACTTAGACCGCCCCTTTAGCTTTGGGATCGTCCAGAAAGTACGTCCTTTTTTCCTGATTTTTTCCTTTTCATTTGATAATTGCGGAAGCTAGGCGCCTGCGAACTGCAGGGTAGGCCACCCCGCACTACACGCATGCACTGCAGGCGAGATGTTGCCTACCATCAGGCGCTATGAGAGCTTGCGAAGCCTTGAACTTAATAGGTTCGTAACGGTGAATGACGGACGTACTTTCTGGATGGTCCCTTTCCTGATAACATCAAACTTTCGAACGATCGGACTGTACATTTCGGATTCGACAGTCGGCCAAGCACATCATGTTACGAGGGTTGCAGTTTGAGAACTTTGTACGTCAACCAGGCCCGTACATATTTAGAGGTATCGCACTAAAATAAGGATGTCTTAAAACTCCGACATTGTGAAAAATTGCTGTAAGTAAGTTACTACTGTAGCAGCTGGTAGTGGAGGGTGTAACACCTTCTGCTCTGCTGGCCTGACAGGAGGTCAAACTGTACTACGCACATGTTTCGGAGCACGCCGAGAGCACCACGCGCAAGTGTGGGCGGGTTTGTCTGCTCACATGTGCCATGGCGACGCCTTACGAGCGGAGGGAGTTGGCAAACCCGCCTGCACCTGTGTGAGTGCACCGAGACACCCGCCCGGTACATACTACATACAGTGCTGGGGCCAGGCCAGGCCAGGCCAGGCGGGCGCGAGTAGACAGGCCCCGGGCGCCTGGCCCAACCCTTCTGGGAGCCGCCTCACGCAAACACGCTGTCCCTTTTCATTCCCCGAGCAGCAGGGGAGCCCCCTTCCTCCCCCTCTCCCCCGGGCCCTCTCTGCCCCCCGCGTCCAGGGTAATTTCCCTCCCCGCCAGTAATGTCCGACCACACGATGTGAGGCCCCCCGCCCCGCCCCGCCCAGTCGTGTCGTTCGGACCCGGGTATGTATTTCTGGCCGACGAGGCCAGGTCAGGCGTGGCGTGCAGCTCGCGCTGAAGTTCAGAGGTCAACTGGGTCAGCAGCGCTCGAAAGGGCGGCGCCAGCAGCCAGTAGCAGCAGCAGCTCAGGGCCCGGCCGGGCCCGGGCTCCCGGGTGAAGTGCTCGCCCCACGCCGACCGGAAAGTGAAAACATAAATTGACCGCGGCCCAGTGGTTTATCGACGACCCCGCGTCCGCCCTGCCCCGCCGCGCCTCGCCCGCCCCGCCCCACTCCAGCCCATCGCCGCTGCCGGATTAATGCTACAACAAAAATGCCATCGATTGGAACGGCCGACTGTAGTGGGCTCTGCGTGCCGGGCCAGGCATCATCCCCTCAATAATGCCGGGGTCACAACGACGTCCCACCCCGCCGCACCCCCCGCTCCTCTGGGACAGCGGGTGGGCGGGCACATCACTCCGTGCCTTTTCCGCACCCGCTGCTCGCACCCAATTTTGACATATAGAAATACCAGGCCGCGGCACGGGAGGGCATGTGGAGGTCGCAGGAACGCCAACGCCACTGGCACGTTTGTAATTTGGGGGGTTGCCTCCTGTGCGGTAGGCAACCCGATGACACGGGTGTTCCCAGCTTGCCTACCTCCCGGGCGGCAGTCCCGGCATCAGCAGTCCATCCTCCAGCGCAGCCATCGATCCGACAACGTTTTCTCGATATACGCCTAGCCCGATGGGACACAGACTGGTTACTGCAGGTCCGAAACAACTGGGGGTATTATTGCAGAAACACGAGTCGGGGAGGCCCGAAACCCCTCAACACTTCTGCAGCTGGTTTTATCTTCCAGGTACACTACCTGAGCTCGCCACATCATCTCCTCGGGGGGGACGGCCTTTCCTTTCCTGTGCTCGGCGCGTCCCACCCATCCCGCCTCACGGAGACGAATGAGCCTAGCGGGGCGGAACTCTGATTGGATTTCTGCCCGGATCAGCCTGTCCCTGCCCCGCCCCCTTCGTGTCCTGCTTCTCATCCTGTCCTGCAGGCGAAAGCACGAACGGTAACGGAAAAAAAAATCGCCACCAGCGCCGACATTGGTTTTACCGGATTCACCGGGTTTTTCTCGTTTGTTGCTATACATTTAAAAAACATCTTTCATCCCTCCC